TGATTGGGAAATAGTGTAGCTTTTTCAGTTGATAGTGCAGAGAATGATACTTAGAGATATAATATCAATTTCACTTGTTTTGGTACATGTATTTCTGGTCAGAATGGTTAGGGGTGATGTGGGGGTGTAAAGGGTTTGGCGATAGGCAACTGGTTTAGCTCTTCCAGCTGACATTGCATGTTGCGTTGTAGTTGTAGTTTTCAAATCCCTTTAGCTTCTACATGTCCTCGTCATCTGGTCAACGCCAGAGTAGAGCAGGCTTTTTAAGTCTGTAGGTGTGTGTAGGAGCTTGTGTCGGAGAACTGCCAGGTTTGGGCAGTGAAGGAGAAGATGTTCAACGGTCTCCTCGTAGTAGTCACAGTGTCTGCATAGGATGATGTAGAGAAATATGTATCGCATTGTGGTTTTTTAAATTTCTAGTTGATATGGTTAGGGGTAAAAGAGTTAGCCACTAGCAAATATTTTTCTTTCTCAGCTGGCAGTACAGAGGGATGTGCGAAGAGTTAGATTTCACAATATCTCTTGTCTTGGTATTTCTAGCAAAGAAAGTGTGATGATTGTGTGGGTAAAGGTAGGGGGAGGGGAGGTTGGAGGCGATAGACAAAATATGATTCCCTCTTCCAGCTGACAGTACAGGGAGTGGTGTGTAGAGATGTGTATAACAAAAGCACATTTCTTGGTATTTCTTACTGGAAGGGGAATGGGGTAGGTGACTAAAAATTAGTTTTACCCTTTCCAGATAGAGAGCGGGAGAAGATCTTTTAGTTGCATTGTTTCTTCTTCTATGTGAAAGTCCATGAAAGCTAATTTGGAAAAGACTGCAGAAGGTTAAAGCCAGTGGTATGGGGAAGCTGAGACCAGTCTCAATAGTTTAAAGAGAAAGACTTGGCAGGAAAGGTTCATTTGCGAAAATTCGATTAGAGCCTGGGTGCTCTTTTCGTGTTGGTGTTTTTTACACCCCTATCAACACAATTTAGATCATTTAGGATGCAGACTTGCAACCATGCCTGTGAGGGCCAATCCGGCGAGCGGGTTATCATCATCCGGTGCCTTGCCGACTGGCGTGGGCGATCATGGACCTTCACTTCACTCTGTCCTGCGTTGCAACGATGGTGTCTGTTGTTCTTGCTGTTTCCAACCATGTTGTCTACTTATCCAGTATCTTTTCACTCTGTTTGCCTCTGCCTCTCTTTTCATCAAACTTGTCCGTTGTTTCAATATTCTCCAATGCTTCTTTCCGCTTTGTGTCTCCAATGAACTTTGCTTTTCGCTTTCGTATATTCGCCATAAGCTGTCGTCTGCAGTTTGCTTCAACCAAGCCTTTTTCATTAGTTTTTCTAGCTGCCCATGGGATACGCAGCATGCGTCTTATGAACCACAACTCTATCGCCTCAATTGTGCTTTCCAGCTGTCCATTGATTGTCCATGCTTCGCTCCCTTATAATACAAACTGTGGGGGTTATACTTTGCTTTCACCCGTGAATCTGTATCTGTTCTCAGCAATTTGGATTCCGACGAGAAGAGCCGGTCCCGTCGTCAAGACTACCCTCAGGCTAACTCCATTCTGTGGAACTCCATGATCCACCCTCTCCTGGGGATGACCATACGTGGAGCCATCTGGTATCAAGGTCAGTGTCTGTACGGTGGTCGCTACCATTTTGGCGGTCTAGTTTTCCCACAGCTGAATGTTCCTGTATTGGCATATACTAGGTGCATTGTTCCCTCTCGACTCGGGTTCGAGGATCCTGTTTCAGAATCCCCCGCAACTTCATGTTTAAATAAGACTCGAAAGGAATAACTGGGATAAATGGTTAGGGAGTAGAATATGAATACTATATTTTATTAAGATTATAACCTGTTTGTCAACTTGCTCCCTACAACCCGCTTACTTGCCACTGTACTGGCTACCTACTAAGGTCCTCTATTCACCTGTTGGCCCGCTAGAATAGGCTAATACTAACAAAATCACCTTAGTAGAGACTGTGCCCACCTTTTCGGAACTTGACAGTTGTATTAAAGATCTTTTCAGTAGGGATCAGGATAGCGGGTGCCCACATCCCTCGTGACTCATCAGAGCAGAGGAAAATAGGACTAAGTCTAACTTAAAGAAAAAAACACCTCAACTAACAGAAGCTTGTGATCTTAATAATTATTTACATAAACATAATCCCACATTATCACGTATCACCACCATCATCTCTAAAATAATTATTGCTCTCAGATCCTTGACATACATTTATAATTATCTTGAACATCTATCTGTAACAGTTATAAGCAATAACAATTATGTACTGTACGTAGTAATACACTATTGAGCATTATCATACGCCCATTTTTCTACTAATCAGATGGCGTCAATATCATAGAAATGGGCAAGGGACCAACCCCCTCCCCCAAAAAACAAACAAACAAACAACGACAACAAAATCCAAACAAAAAAACCCAACAAAAAACAAAAAACAAACCAAAAAACAAAACAAAACAACAGCGACAAAACAAACAAAACCCAAACAAAAACAACAGCAACAACAACAACAACAAAGGGTGTGTACTTGGTGGTCACATGACACAGCCCAGGCACTCTGTGTCTAGCTCATGACGTCACTACAGACGAGATGGACTGACAGACAGATAGACAGATGGACAGGTAGATAAGCGGATAAGTGGTTAGACTACAGGACTAGTAATCGTGAGATTGCTGTTTTGGTAGTTCGAACCTCAGGCCCGACGTTGTATGCTTAGGAAAGGCACTTTACACGAATGTTTCTCACTTCCCCCCCGGG